TCTTTGGGCCGCCGCACGCGGGAGATTTGCAGCGCGGGGGTGTGTGTGCCCCAGTTGCCCCCTCCCACGGCACGTCCGGGGGCGCCCGCTTGGGCAGGGAGCGCCCCTCTGGCACCGCGGCGACAGCACCGCCCCGGGATCCCTCCCCTCGCAGGGGCTGCACCCCGGCGGCCGCGGGGGACGGTGGGGCCGTCTCGGGAGCGCCTGGAGGGGATGCATCCTGCAAGAGGTGGAGGGCGGGGGGGGGATGCGTGCACGCGCATACACACGCATACAGAGATACACGTTTGTACACACGCACACATATATACTCGCATACATACAAATACACGCATTTACACTACATATGCACACACATATACACAAGCACACATATACACACAGATATATATACAAACACACACACATACACACACCTACACCCAAGCACACACGTGTAGAGAGGCACGCCCTCTCTTTCACACTTATCTCCTTTGTAAAAGAATTAAAGAACCAGCCAAATACGGTGACAAATAAATAGGACGAAACAAATCAGTGCACGCTCCACCGGGCAGGGCCACCGGCGTGCCCGTCCGTCCGTCCGTCTGCTGCAGCCTCGTCCGTCTCCTGCCCGAGGCCCCTTCTGCCTTCTGCAGCATTTCAGCAGCTGCTCTTCTCGTTTCACACACACACACACACACACCGGCCCGAGTGTTGCTTTGCCCCAGACAAGGTTTCGTGAGCGAGGTGGGCAGCTCGGGGTGGGCGTTCGCAGCTGGCTTGCCCGCCTTTGCCTTTGCCTTCGGAGGGAGGAAGAGCCAAGCCCTGGATTCCCCTTGCGGAGAAACTGGACGAAGAGCCTGAAGTGTTGGCTGGTGTGGGTCTCCCGAGCTGTGTGGCCGTCTTCTGGACGTTTTCTTTCCTAACGTTTCGCCAGCCTCTGTGACCGGCATCTTCAGACGGCAGGAGCACAGACAGGAGCAGTTCTCTGGGAGGAGCTGGGCACAGAGAGAACCCAGCTGAAGATGCCGGTCACAGGTGCTGGCGAAACGTTAGGCAACAAAACCTCCAGAACAGGCCACACAGCCCGGAAGACCCACACCAGCCATCGTATGCCGGCCGTGAAAGCCTTCGACAAGCCATTGAAAGCCTGAAGCGTCTCCATCAGAGGCTGGTTTCGCTTCCCGGACCTTGAGAGAGCAGAAGGAAGCGAAGACCTTCTGCCCAAAGTTGGCAGAGTTTACCCTCATCAAGGAACTGCCAAGGGAAAAAACAAAACAACCCCCCCCCACACCAACACTGGCAGGGCGTGCCACTGTGTATAAACAGAGAGCAAACCCCACTCCCTTCTAGCACGGAAGATGTTCCCTAGCCGGGTAACGAAACGTTTGCAAGAAAACAGCCAAGCTCGGAGAACCCCAGGGACTCCACGGTTTGCAACTCCCATACCCTGCCCGAGAAGGAGTAACAGCCACAGAAGGATGCCAGTCTGTTGTGTTGCTTGACCTTTTTTTCAATCAGCAGCAGCAGTAACGTCTTCTCGTTTGCAGGATGATCGTTTTTCTGTAATAATGCATCCCCTAAAAAAACTGCAGTAAATACATTTAATCGGGGTGTATATAAA